CCCCCCCTGCCTACCTGCTTGCTGCTCCTCCTGCTGCTGCTGCTGCATGGTACAGTACATCTCCTCTTCTCCCCTGTTTGTTCTCTCCCCTCTTGCCCCCCTCCTCATCGCACCCCTGGCCTGTCTCAGCGCAACTTTCAACATTTCTTGTTCAGGACTCACCCCCCCTCCTCTCATCCTACCAATTTACATTATCTCAAACTTTCACCACTTTATTCCACCTTCTCCACTATGGCCGTGATCGATCGGCTGTCCGTCCTGAAATTAATTCTTTCTCGTTAGACTCCCTTTCGTAAATGAGAATCCATCCTCCACCCTCCAGCAAGTCCGTGCCGCGCTCGAATTCGTCCCCCCGTCCAGCTTCCCCTCGCCTTCCTTGCCCCCCTGTATAGCTGCAATCATAATTATTGCCGACTCAAGACCACCAAGTTTATTTATCGGAAGTCGAATGCCTTATCAACTACCCGAAAGAGCCTCTCAACTGGTTTTGGCTTGAGTTTCGCGAGCGCGCCTCCCTCTCCCTTCCTGGAGAGTTGTCTCTCACACCTACTGGAATTGGCGTTTGTGCCACCATCACCTTCGAACGGTCGCTCGCTACTCAATAAATCGCATCCAAGATGGAATCCCCGGGGTATCCTGAGTCCCCTTTGGATCAGGACGACATTCCTTTCCCCTGTAAGGGCTGTGGAGAGGTATGAACCCAGAAAACCGCAAAGACTACGAGGCTTGGAAACAGTGCACTAAGAAGGGCTTTTCGCTGAAATAGATTCTTGAAGAGGGCAAAGCCTTCGAGCTTGGTGAGTTTCTTGTTCCGTGGTTATAATGGCCTTCGAGCCGGTGGCTGACTGCCTCCTTCCATGTGATCTAGCGGGCAACCGATGGCATATCGAATGTTTCTGCTGCAGCACCTGTGGCACGCTACTCGACTCGGATGCGCACCTTCTTCTGCTTGGCGATGGCTCGTTGATCTGCAGCAACTGTACCTACAGCTGTAGTTCGTGTGGGAACAAGATCGAGGACCTCGCAATCCTCACTGGTGAACAAGCTTTCTGCGCCCAATGCTTCCGCTGCCGCAACTGCAAGCGGAAAATCGAGAACCTGCGTTATGCCCGCACCTCGCAGGGTATATTCTGTATGGACTGTCATGAGTCGTTGATGCAGCGGCGGAGAAAACGAAAGGCGGCCCCCACGCGAAAACAAGGACCTCCGGGGGTGAAATTAGATAAGTCCCTTCCGTCACTGCCCCCGGAAGAAATGGAACCAGTCTCGCGCGCCTCGGACGACCAAGAGGCTTATTCCATGCCCAGCGGGGATACCCCTGCGCGAGCTGCTCCTGCGCTGGACGCGGGAAGAGGTCCCAGCGCAACACCTCGTCCCGCGGCAGAAAATCAAGGTCAGTTGGCCTCTGACATGATGCGCAGACCCTTTATCTCATGGTGAAAGAGAGCTGACGGATGCAGATAATTTAATACTCCCGTCAAGCACCTATCGCAGCAATCGCCATTCAATTGTGCCTCCGCATGGCGAAGCCGATGGCGGTGAATTCCTGATTCCTCTCGCCTTTGACCCCTCCGAAGAACAAAGATCTCGCGCGCAACCGAACCCTACGTCGGGAGGCTCGTCTCCCCATATCGCATACCAGGAGAAAGGCCGGGAGCGGACTGATGATGCTCCTCGTTGGCGTCAGGACGAGTTGGCCAACGGCACGTCTCGTGGTGACAGAACGCCTGTCACGCGGTCTGGCTCGGTGCGTAGTTCTCGTTCCGACCTAGGAGGTCGCAAGGAAGCCAGCACATTTTCTTCGCCCAGCCCCGAGAGCACCAAGTCTACGACCACCGTACCAAGAGATGGCTCAATAGCAACAGCTCCAGAGAGCATGACCACACTTCCAACAAGACCATCTCATGAGCTACGCCGACTTCACGAAACTAGCGGCTCGATCGACTCCGCACATTCCTTCTTGTCCTCTTCGAGCGTGCAGCCTCATCCCAAGCGTGGCGACTCCCTCGACCGACGATTGAACCAGGGCCCAAGGAAGGACGCACCTTTGTCACCTCGTGCTTCTTCATTGAGTCCGAGTGAGCAGTGGAGTGAGCGGTCAGCAGATCGGGCTGGATTCAGCAAGAGTACTCCTCGTACGGGCGACTCAACCTGGACACCACGTAGCGATGTTCATGAGCGCCCCAAGCCCCCCGCACGCCCTAACTCAGTCAGCGCCCTACAGCAAGTGGAATCCTACCGCCAGGGTGATGGAGCGGATCTATCAGCGGATGGAGAGAACTCTCAAGCCATAGGCGCCAGCGATGGCTCCGCGGCACAGAACGGCGAGTCTTTCTTGCGGCGCGTTTCCAACTCGGTGCGTCATGGTCGAAGCTACAGCGACAAAGGCTCTCGCCTGTCCCGTGATGCCAAATGGCCCCGCTCGCCTGTGAATGGATCTACGCCACTTGCGGACTTTGGAAGCCCCTCTGCGGAGGTAACCGGATCCGATGAAGTGACTTGGCTTCGCAACGAACTTCGTAAGGAGCGTCAACGAGTATTCGACCGCGAGCAGAAGCTCGCGGAGATGGAGGCTATGCTGAACGCTAGCGCCGAGGTCAAGCAGGTCAATACTGAGCTAAATGAGAAGCGCTCCACCATGGTGGTCTTGGACGCTCAGAAAGAGATTGCAATGCGCGAGTTATCCGTGTTGACAGAACATCTGGAGGCTGAGAAGCGTGGTGGTGGCGGTTCTCTCGACCTTGGCAAATTGACTAACCACGTTCTGCGAGAATTTGTGGAGTCAATTCAGAAGCTGAAGGACTCGTTCACTCCACAGATTGAGGAACTGATTCAGAAGCGCAACGATGCCGCCGAAGAATTGACCAACTTGAACCGTATGAAGGATAAGAGCTTCCAGGAATTTGAACAATTGTCGTCGAAGAATGCGCAGCTTGCAGAACTCAACAACCAATTGGTACACCAGATCCAAGAGCTCTATAAGGCCAACGACGGCAGCCGTGGGGCGAATGGCCTGGGCATCTACTCCCATGGCAAGGAAAAGTCGCTGTCGTCTATTGAAGCCCTGAAGGCGGCCCACAGCGACCTCGTTCCAGTCACGGCTATTAACATGTCGGAAGAGGCCGAGAACGCCACTATTGTGCCCGGCCCGCAAGTCGTCAGTATCCGAAAAGGACAGCCGCGTAAGTTTAACTGGAAGAAGGGTGGTCAGAACGTCGCCAAGGGTGTTACCAAGGGACTCAAGGGTGCCTTCATGTCAAGTGAAAATGCCACTGCCACGGAAGGAAGCCCTGGCTTGCCGCGTTCTCAAACTCAAGACCCTAGCCGTCCGGGTTTTGGTTTCTTTGGCAATCAACGCAGCAAGCAGGTGGGAACTCGGATGCCGACCACCGACAGCGTTCCCGTTCTAGCTGAAACCAACCCTAATGGTACGTTCTTCGTCTTCGCGTTTGTCATAATGTGATACTTACTTTTCCAGCACTCTTTGGTACCGAGTTGGAGCAGCGCATGGAGCAAGAGAAGAGTATCATTCCTGGCATTGTCTCTCGCTGTATCCAGGAAGTCGAGCTACGAGGTATGTTTCTTCCCAATCTACTGGTAGGCCTGTACTGACTCTTTTAGGCATGGACATGGAAGGTATTTATCGGAAGTCCGGTGCTAGCTCGGCAATCCAGACGATTCGCGAGGGCTTTGAGCGATCCCCGCACGATTACGATATTTCTGATCCGGATCTTGATATTCACGCAGTGACTTCGGCGTTGAAGCAGTATTTCCGGAAGCTGCCTACGCCACTTATCACGTTCGAGGTTTACGAGAACATCATTGAGACGGGTGAAATTACCTCTCAGGCGGGTCGCATCGAGTCTCTGCAAAAGAGCCTGCGTGAACTGCCACGTGTGCATCAAGATGTGCTCGAGTTCCTGATCTTCCACCTGAAGCGCGTGGTCGAGCGCGAGAAAGAGAATCTGATGACCAGCCAGAACATCGCTGTAGTGTTTGCCCCGACCATCATGCGGCCGGAGAGTCTAGCACGGGAAATGACGGATGTGCAGAAGAAGAATGAGGTGATGAAGTTTTTGGTGGACAACTGTCAGGAGATCTTCATGGGCATGCAGAACTGATGACTGGCCTTCAGTCACCATGCATACTACTCAGGCCTGGTTTTCGCCTGTGGTCCGGCACCAGCGCCGGCACTGCTTGACTGGCGCGGTAGGGGGAAGAACCTCCGACCCTCTCTCCTCGACGCTTTGGTTCATTTGTTTAGTTTAGAATACCCTTCCATTTTCTGTCAATTGCGACGACAAGACCTCTGTTGTACATACATATACCACGTTGATGTGGACGATCTGTGTGTCACTTTTCCTCTTTCTTGCCTACAGCCCTTCTCCCTTCTCTGACAGTCTGACGATCGTCATCGTCATCAGCCCCGTCGATACCCTGTTTTGTGTCTATTTATCCTGACCTCACCCTCTCGAACAACCCCTGGATCTTGTAATCTGATTCCCCCCCCCCCCCCCCTTTTCTCTTCTGAGCCCTGTCTTTTTTCTTTGTACCTTTTCTTTCGAGTGATCCCGCAGGTTCGAAGCTAGTTTACACCTAATTTGCCGGTAAGGCAGCCCGGGGCGCGTGGTCTGGTGGCGAATTGGGATGCCCCAGACCCAACTACTAATTGATCTGGTCATGTTGGACCGCTTGGAAAGAATCATGAGTCAAATGTAGAGATGGGAGGAAGCAGGGGTTGAGCGACTAGACAGTCTCGGCTACGCCCAGCTGTGACGTAACATGATACTTTGCCCCGGTTATTGTTAGTCTATTAGGGACGACAGCCGCCTGAAAGGGGAATTATCCCGCGACGAAACGCGAGATGATTTGGGTTGATATATACAGTAGGTACAGCATGAGAGGTCTTGTCTCTGTAGCACAAACCGCCATCTGGCCATTACCAGCGAAGGTGGATTCTGCTCTAGAAAGTCTCATCCTCGAGCTTCTCCACCCGGCGGATCACGCTCGGACTCTGCTCCTCCACGATATCATCCGTGGTATCGTTCGCTCCGGCGGTGAACAACAAGTCTTCCACGATCCGCTTGGACGCTTCTTTTGCTGTTTAGGTTTAATAGAATTGTGGTTAGTGTCCGCGCAGAATTGCATGTGTAGACAGTTGGGGGTGGGGGTAAACTAACCAGGAGTTTTCATCAACCGACTCTGCGGAATATGGAACTGCATCGTCTTCGGAGGGCTGGGACCCAGATCCTCGTCCTCGTCGCTGAACGCCGCGCCGCCGCCGCCGTAGCGACCACCAATACCACCGAGAGCATCATCGTCGCTATCCCACCCTCCTCCCGCGCTACCCGGCCGACCGGTCCCACCCTTCATTGGGGTGAGGACACTCATGCCGGGCTTGGGGGTCACGCGGGAATAGTAAGGGTGGTGGGCGCTCGGCTGGCGCTTGCGGCCAGTGTTGGGCGTTTGGGCCGCGGCGGCGGCCCCGCCTCCTTTCATGGGGGAGTCGAAGATCTCGGCGTGGAGTTGCGGGGCCTCGGGCTCCGGGCTGGAGATCGGGGAGGAGTCGAAGGAGTATTTGGATTTCTTGGTGGGGGGCTTTTGCGGGGTGGTGGAGTTGAACATGGGATTGGTGAATTTGATGGATTTGGAGGTGGAGAGGTAGTGTTTGAGTGGTTGCCGCTTCTTGGAGAGGGGGGTGGCTTGCACGCGGTAGGTCTTGTCGTGGAAGCGGTGCAGGATGGGGTCTTCGTGAACATCATCATCAACATCGTCGTTGTTTTCGTAAGCTTCGTGGGTGGTTGTGGGGGCGGGCGGGATGAAGGGCGAGGAGGAGAGTGGGGTGTGGGATTCGTCGTGGTGGTAGGGGTATTGTTGTTGTTGTTGCTGCTGCTGTTGTTGGGTGGGGCGGTAGGTGCGCGAGGCCGAGGCCGAGGCGGAGTATTTGCCTGGGGTAGTGGGGAGGAAGGAGTCCTCGTTTTCTGCGTCGGCGAGTTCGGCGGCGCGGGCGAGGTCGCGGGTATCACTGTCAAGGGGCAGGGAGTCGGGGTGGAGGTCGTAGGGGGATGGGGAGGGGTGCGCGATGGAGGAGGTGACGGTTGTGTCGTTAGCTTGTTGGCTGCCGTGCTGGTGGTGGTGGTGGTGAGATGCGTAGGGGCGCGGGGTGCTGTGGGAGGAGAGACTGAGGGCTGTCAACTCCAATTCAGGTTCGTGCTCGCGGTGGTCGTCGTGGCTGAGGTGCGATTCGTCTTGTTGCGCGGTGAGAGACTGGTCCGATTCCTCTTGTAGCGTTGTGGTGGTGTCTTCAGGTTTCTCTTCGTAGCCCGAGAGGGAGACGTTGGCGCTGGCTTCGAAGAATTGCTTCCAGAACTGGGGTTGATGGCGCGTTAGTGATGGTTCACGTGGCGATTGGAGGGGGGAGGGTGTCTATGGTAGGCCATACCTTGGCACCTTCCCAGACGTCGCGGGAGCTCTCTGAATATTGTTCGATCAGGGGTAGAACACTGGTTGTGACGATACGATGGGCTTGACTGAAGTTGTGGTCGATCTCTGCAGAAGACAGTGTCAGTCGACTTGTTTGAGGCATCTGATGCGGATTGTCCATAGTTACCCTGCAGGGTGAGCGTGATTGATTGCTCCAGCTTCTCGAGCTCTTCCGTAAGTGTCAGCGGGCGCTGGGCCATGGATGACGGGCGCGACATGGTGAGATATCCAATGATCGGGTTGTAGCGTTGAAAGAATTGATGTAAGGAGTGGTGGTTGCTGGTTGCTGTTGTTGCAGCTGTTTGTTTTGACGGACCGCGGAGGGGCAGCACTGCAGCACGTGATAGTTAGTCCGCTAGGGCAGTCGGATAAGGGCAGCCGGAATCATGTGGCGGCGAGGGGGCGGAAGCAGCAGGTGATCGATTAACTTGATTGACTACCTTACTGCTGCCTGCCTACTTATTGCTCTCTGACTTTCCCTTTCTCGCATCAACAACTCTCGGGTTAAAGGTGCTCTGTCGCGATGCCTACGCCTGTTGCGAAAGGTATGCTTGCTCTTGAGGGTCATTTCTTTCCCCCCTTCTTGTTGCAAGAGAAGAAGAGAGTTAGTTATCTGGGCGGTGTGTGCTTATCAGTTGATGATGGATGACGATGGATGAGATATTCCCGGGCCAAGCCGGACAGCATTCCTCATTTTGTCTATCATGTTTCCTTCTCGGAGTTTCATTTACAGATTCTGCCTGACACAGAAAGGTAGCCTGGAATCATGATACTGACACACCCAGGAATTATCATCACCGTCTCGGCGCTGGTCGCCGCCGGGATCGCGGTCTACGAGTCGCCGCAGTTCCGCCAGTGGGTGAACAACTCGCGCCGCAAGATCGCACTAGCTTTGCACAATCTGGGCGACGAGATTAACCCGCACGATGCTCCGCTCAGACAGGATATCTCCATGACCGAGGAAGTGGGCGTAGCAGCCGAAGAACGGCGGCGAATAGCTCGGGAAGAGCTTGACCGGCGTCGTTCCTTGCTCGAAGAGCGTCGCAAAGGCATGGCCAGGCCACCGTCAAACAGCTTTGATACTTTGGTCGATGAGCAGGGCCGGTTGTTGGATCTTGCGGATTCATCGAGTGATACACCGTTAGCCAACTCGACTGCCGTGGAAGTGGCGACGTCGCAGCCGGTGCACCGGGGCAAGGGGCCAACCTCGCTTCCTGAAGCATCTCACGGCCAGACGGATTTTCACGAATTAGGTCCACCGCTGCAGCTCAATATCCCGTCGCCTCGTGCCGGTTCGCCTTTGCTGGCTGAGTTCACCCCTGTCTCTGAAGCTCCTGACAAAATGGCCACGTCGCTGCTCTCGTCGTCCCATGCCGAGGATGAACACCATATTGTCGGAGATGATGAGTCGATCTCTAGCCATACGGAAGGTCACTCTGAAGTGCTATATGCTCATCCTGGGGACTGGACGACAAACGAATCCGGGCGCGACTTGAGATCGCCCTTCTCGGACTTGGCAGAGCTACAGCTTGAAAGGGAGCGCGCCTCGACGCCATCCACCAGCGATAGCTACAGCCACATTTACGAGTCAGCGATCGACGCATCATCCGATGGCACTTTGAGCGACCTGGGCCGGTCGACTGGCGCGGCCACCCCGGCCAGTTGGTCGGAGGTTGGCAGTGTGATCAGCAACGACGAGCACGTGCATCACTTGTAGGCAAATTGGAAGAACAACTCAGGGTATCGTATCATTAGGCGGATGGCGCTGGAGGAAAGGTATTGGCGTTTGCTTCTCTACTTCGATGGTGTATGGCTTGGGACAACGGAACTGCCAGGGTCGTACACGCGCCCATGGCCTTAGCTGTAGATAAATTAATTTCTGGGGAAAAAAATGGATCGCTTCGTTTCCTACACATGATTTGCGGCGAGTAAGCCCTAAAAAGAAACCTCGGGTTGTCCCCGACCATTCTAGTCTGTGGCAGATTTAGTTACTCTAATAAAGAGTTGTTAAAAGGGTGCGGAGATGTAAGCAGCGCAGCAGCTGCAGTGGCCAAAAAAATGAGCCTCGGCTGTTGCTCGGTTGGAGAGGTTGGGGTAGTTAAGGTAGGTAAGACATCCATCGCATTTCAACTCGACGACCTTCCCCTCCTTTGCTTTCTTTCTTTCCTCTTCTCATCAGCCTTTTTTACTCAGTCATTTGAACTCATAACAGAATTAGAAATAGTAAGTTACTCACGTCATGCTTTAATGTCGAAATCGATATCCAGATGCAGCAGTCTTTCGTTCCCCCCGCTCCACTTCACTACATAGCCTGCCTCAAGGGATAAGCTATACGAACGCTAACAGCAAAACGCAGCAACAATCATGGCAGCAGACCGTCTGAACAACATCCTCAGCCACCTGAAACCGTCCGGAATCAGCGGACTTTCAGCCATGTACTTTCCTCCTTTCCAGAAACATTGTACATTGCGAGTATATACTGACCGCGAATGACCGCCAACCAGCACCGAGAAGAACCCCGACGATGTGGTCATCACTCTCGCGCTCCGGACGCCGCTGACCAAGGCCGTCAAGGGCAGTTTCAAGGACACCGAGCTGGACTACCTGATCTACGCCTTGCTGAAGGAGGTGCTTGCCAAATCGAAGATCGATCCCAGTCTGATCGAGGATGTCTGCTTGGGGAATGTGCGTTTTGACCCTGACTCATTACTTGCCTTTCAGCCCTCTCATCTCCATGGGAAACTAACATGATCCGATAACAGGTCAACGACGGCAAAGCGGCCTACCTCGTGCGCGCGGCCTCGCTGGCCGCCGGGATCCCGCACACGGCGGGGGCTTCCTCGGTGAACCGGTTCTGCTCGTCGGGGCTGAAAGCGGTGCAGGACATCGCGAACCAGATCCGGCTTGGGGCGATCGACGTCGGGGTGGCGGTGGGGGCGGAGCTGATGTCGGCGCCGAGCGGGGACCGGATCCCCAAGCCGTTCCACGCGGAGGTCATGCGGCACCCGGAGGCGGCCGACTGCATGCAGCCGATGGGCCAGACGTCGGAGAACGTCGGGGCGGACTTTGACATCTCGCGCGAGGAGCAGGACGCGTACGCGGCGGAGTCGTTCCGGCGGGCCGAGGCGGCGCAGAAGGCCGGGTGGTTCGACGAGGAGGTCGTCCCCATCACGACGCAGGTCAAGGACCCCAAGACCGGGGAGGTCAAGACGGTGACTGTGACGCGGGACGAAGGCGTGCGCTACGGCACGACCAAGGAGAGCCTGGCCAAGATCCGGCCGGCGTTCCCGCAGTTCGGGGATCGGAGCACCGGCGGCAACTCGAGCCAGGTGACGGATGGCGCGGCGGCGGTGCTGCTGATGCGCCGGTCCAAGGCGATAGAGCTGAACCAGCCCATCCTAGCCAAGTTCTGCGGCGCCACGGTGGCCGGCGTGCCGCCCAGGGTGATGGGGATCGGGCCGACGGCGGCGATCCCCAAGCTGCTGGCGCAGTTCGGGCTGGCCAAGGAGGAGGTCGAGCTGTATGAGATCAACGAGGCGTTCGCGTCGATGGCCGTCTACTGTCTCCGGAATCTGGGGCTGGAGCACGAGAAGGTCAACCCCCGGGGCGGCGCGATTGCGCTGGGCCACCCGCTCGGGGCGACGGGCGCGAGACAGATCTGTACGATTCTGAGCGAGGCGCGTCGCACGAAGAAAAGGGTCTTGGTGACGAGCATGTGCATTGGGACGGGCCAGGGGATGGCGGGGTTGTTTGTCAATGAACAGGTTTGAATTTGAATTTGATTATGGAGTCGTTACATCGTGAGAATTTAGTGAATCTGGAAGATATATCTGCAGACAAAAGTCCAACCATCAAAACAGAGACAATATACCCTAATTCCCATCATCCCTCTCCCTCTCCCTCTTCATCCTCTCTTCCGCCGCTTTGGCCAGAATCTCCCTCATACTCCCTCCCCCAGTAGCTTGAGCCTGACTCCTAGTCCCCCCTTCACCTCCAGACCCCCCCTCCGCCCCCAAGACAAAGCTCCCCCCCGTCCACCCCTTCTCATCAACCACCAACCCATCCCGCTGCACCTCCTCCCACTCCCCGGGATTATAGAACTCATCCACCACCCCCCCTCCGCCTGCACCCCTACTATTCGCGCCCAGCACCCGCCCACTCCTCGTGTAATCCCCCCTCTCGACCTCGCGCTCAATCTGGCCCGTCAGCTCCCAAAACAACCGATCGTGGTCACTGTGCACACAGTGCGCCAGCTCATGACACAGCGTCTTGCGGATCGTGCGATAATCGCGGTACCCGTCGTAGGCGTCCGTGCGGAGCCGCAACTCGATGACCTCGCCTTTGTTCCGGTTGAGCCCCAAGGTCCGCGAGTGGGCCGTCGTGTGCTCGACGGGGTCCATCTCCGTGAGCACGGGCACGGAGAATTTGTGCAGGCGCATCGCCGACCGGATGCCGGGGTCGTCGCGGAGGCGCGCGAGGAAGTCGTGGCTGCGCTGTGGGTTGGGGAGGTGCGGGAGCGGGAGGAGTCGGTGGAAGGTGTATTGCTGCTGCGGGTCCGCAGCTCCGGACGAGAGGGTGTGGATGCGCGAGAGGGAGGAGGCGACGGCGGCCGGGGTGGCGGTCGCGGCGTACTGGGCGTGGGTGGTGCGGCGGAGGCGTTCGCGCGCGGCGCGGTCGGCACCTTGGGCGTTGAGGGCCGTGATTTCGGGGCTGGGAGAGCCCAGGACGGTGAGTTTGAAGCGCGGGGAGGTGAGCGGGAGGGTTGTGAGGAGGGGGAGGGCGGCGTGGGGGGGCGGGAGGGGCGGTTTGAGTGTCCCGGGGATGAGGGTGCGGGGCGGGGGAGGGGTGATCAGGAGTTTTTGGTGCGAAGTGGCGATGTTGAGGTGCTTTTCGAGGTGGAGGGTGAGGTCGTGGAGGGTGGCGTTCGCGGGGAGGGTGAGGGTGTGGGCGGTGTTGCGGTGGTGGATGGTGAGCTGGAGTTGGGGCTGCTCGTCGGCATCGTCGGCGGTGTCAGGTTCGTGAACGGTATGGTCTTCGATCGGTAGGGTTGGCGTGTCGGACATGGTGGATTTATGGTGAGCGATGTTGTGGTCATGTAAAGGAGGATGAGGGGTATAGTAGTGATTGAATCGTGGTGTTGAGGTTTCAGGCGATATAAAAGAGACTCCTCGACTCCATGATGGCGGGATTCGATCTTCTTCGATGCGGTTTTGTCAGCCGGATAAAATCACATGGAGATAAGCACAAGCACTCCGTTCCTGTTCCTGGTACCCTGCCTCAGGCATCAGTTCCAGGCACCTGGTAATGATCGTCGCTGCTTATTCTCAATCCGATTACGTGTAGGCTGCCTCGAGTAGAGTTCCAATAATTAGACTGCTTGTTTGAAATATACCTCCAGCTCCACATGAACGACTGGTCCACCCCTTCATCTGCTCAACGGTGAGTGTTGTATGCAAGACGACTCGATCGAGTCTCGGGATTCGATTCAATTCACTAGATCAATTACATAGTATTGACTGGCCTGTATAAATCCTATAGACAACCCAACGCCATCCCATATCATCCAGAACGCCCACCAACACCCTTTTATATACCCAACAGTATGCCTGAATGGATGCATGTCACAGCGAAAACGAACAAATTCAAGTGGTTATATACCTCTCCACGACCATCATCATTCATACTGCCGGTCGTCCTTATCGTCCTCCTTCTCCTTCGGTTCCGGCTCATCCATCAACCATTCTTCGACTTCAGGATCAAAAGTATGGCTGGCACAGGCGGGGTACGTTAGCAACCCAGAAAGCCAGTCCTTGATGCCAGAAAATCAACTCACTCATGATAGTGCGTGTTTGTCAACGCTTTCTTCGAGTACTCATCCTCCAAGACCTGATCGTACTTGAACGGCACCTTAGCCGGCACTCCCTCAAAGGTCGTCCGGCGCAGAGGATAGATATCGTCGGTCTGGTACTTGTGCAAGTTCTTGCATTGCCACTCCGTGGGTTTGGTCGCATCCAGCCGGCTCAGCCCCGTGATGTCGATATACAACCCCGTGTTCATGTCGATCCAGCGCGCATCGATGATGTTCAGTCCCTTGCCTCGATCGCGTTGACGAGCCCACGGATTCACGTCGACGAGGTATTTGCGCTCCACATTCTCCTCCTTCGCGGTGTACTGGACGACGGTCTGGTTGTAATGGTCCGCTAGTTGGAAAAGCGTGGGTTCCATCACTTGGGTGTCAATGTCCCAATCCCAAGGCATGACCTGTCTCCTAGCGTGAGTTTGGTTGACACCAGGAAGCGCCACGGAGGGGCCTGTGTGGGGAAAGAGAGCAAGGGGTCTTTTTTACCTTTCCGTTCCACCACCACCCGAGAAGCGTCCCATGTGCGATCCACGTCTCGAGCCCATTGTCCTCGAAAAAGTTCAGATATGCGCGGATCATATGCGTCAAGGTGTGGGATCGCTCCTCGTCGGGGACGGGCTCGGTGAAAAAGCGAGAGTCATAGTGGCCGAGAATGTCATCGTTGCCCGGTTCCTGGAAATACTTGAATTCCTCCGACCGATTCAGTCCGTACTGCTCATATAACGGGTCCGGATCGTTGTGATTCAGCAGCTCGCCGTAGGTGTGATGGACCGCCGGTTGGGGTTGCGAGTTGGGCAAAGCAGTGACTGTTGTGGCCGTGGCGAGGGACCCGATCGTGCAGACGACGGCCAGCAGGCCCTGAGGCTTCATCTCCGGCAAGTGAAAGTCAAATGCGATAGGGGGTGTCGGGTGTGTTTTTGAATGTGCAATTGCCGGGGATAGAGAGTATCAATCACGCTTCTGCATGCATCCTGGGTCGAGGCGCAAGGGAGGGAGAGGGGGCGTAGCACGTTTCGCAAAGCGTGTTGATCTCTATATTTGTTCAAGGGAAGGGAGAAAGATGAAAGGGAACAAGAAAGGTTGCCGCCAATGCGCCGAGGGATGGAAAGCCACACACACAGCGCTATGATCGCATGCTCTGATTCAGAGCGTTCAAGGTCCTTGGCCGCTGGTCCCGGAGATAATGACACCTTCGGGTTCGGTTGTCCGGGTTATATTGACGTTGACCAATGACCTTGTAACACACCGACCAGGGCAAAGCAAGTTAAGTTAAAGTCAAGGGGGAGGGGGGG